ATTCCTGCGTACGGGTCTTTCATTTCCAGGAGACTTGAAACCCCAGTAGTTACTTGGTGTCACATCCCCGTGCAAGGTTTGTTTCTGGATGAGACTAATGGATTCAGGTCTCTGAACGCTGTGATTGAAGAAGGGCAGAATATTACCACTCAAGATTGTTCTTTTAATTTTTTTTTCATTTTGCGATAATAAACCTACTGTTTGATTTAAGTCCTAGAATAGAAAAGATACAGTATGAAAAATAAACCCATAAAAAAATCCTACTGTATTCAGGCGGTGACTCCACAAGCTGCCTGAGCCAGCCAGCAAAGTACTGTGAGCCTACGACGTACGGGTGTGATGGGATGGGAGATGCGCTCTGCATCTCCCTCTGGAGCCTTTTCCTCGATAAAGGGGTGAGAAACCTGCGGGTTTCCTCCTGCTTTGCAGTTCTAGGAAGGAGGCCGACACGGGCCGTGCGTTACAACCTGATGTGTGCGCCGTGCCTGCCCCACTCCTCTGATGGATGCTGCTGCCTTCAAGGCAAGGGTGTCCGATCCGGCTGTAAATCGGCTCCCGAACGCCTGTAGCATCCAACCCAGAGGATAATCGCTGCGAGGGCAGAGGTGCCCTTAAACACTGCTGGTTTCTAACAACCCTCTGCCTTTTTTCGGATGACAGCTGCTGGACCCATTCCCAGCGTTATTCCTCTCCCAGAGGGTTTTCACTCTGTGTTTTGGTTTTTTATCTACTTCAGTGCTCACAGTTTCGTTTCAAGCTAAGCTGAAGCTAAGCTTTGCTTAGAGTCAGTTTGCCATGGCATGCCGAGGACCCTGTCCGCAGACGTCTGTCTTGTAGGGAGAAACCTGGATGAGCCGTGCGGCAGCAGCTCCTCTGGCTGGGGTTTTCTCTCCCAAAAATAGGAATTGCCTTGAAGCAGCGCGGGCTGGAGGGAACAGATTCATAGGGGCCCCTTTTGGGGCATTTATAAGCATCTGAATGGGCTTTAATTGCGGTTTGCAATTTGAAAATGGGAAGTAATGAGCTTAAACTGTATCAAGGGAGATTTAAGGTAGTCATTAGGAGAAGTCTCTTGTGGAGGATGTTGAAGTGCTAGAGCTGCCTGGCTGGGAGGGGGAAACCCAGCGTCTGGGGCTTTGGGGACCGGGGTAGATGAACGCCTTTGGGGAACATTACAAGAAGCGTTTGTCCTAGCATATAGCCCAGGCTGGGCAGTGGGAGATGGTGACCGAGTCTAATTTGATGCAAAAATGGCCTTTCCGTCATCACAGGGGGAGGGACTCTCTCTAGTCTGGCTTTCCTGGTTCTTCATTTTTTCTGACCATTAATTACAACGTCAATACTTATTCTAATTATACAGAACTCTTAACTTTTCTGATTTTATTCTCCTTCCTTACGCTGAACGACCTTGTGGACCATGCTACTGATTCAAGTCAAAGCTGTTGAAGAGTTTATTAGGTCTCGATAGTGTCAGGTTGACCGTACGGTCTGGTGCCATCTGTGTTGTGACAATCAAATGCGTGTGGTCCCTCAAGTGTGCGATTGAAAAGTTAGCAGTGCTTATCTGTGGGTGTTTTATGGATGTCCGTCTGCATCTGGAGGAGCTATTCAGTTACCAGTGTAAACGCTAGAGCTGAAGACGGATTAACCTTTGCTTTGTAGAGAGAACCAGCCTCTGAATCGAGCAGTTTTACGTCTTTGACTTATCTGCAGGAAGGATTTTTTCCTTCCCGCTCTCCTGATTCTGGAAGCTTCAGCTTTGCGGCTCCTATCAGCTGAGCAAGCAGCGTCTCCTCACCTTTTTTCCCACCGTGGATAGGTCAAGTTTCATCCGGAGCTGAACGTGGGGAGAGAGCATCAAAAGCAGTCACCTTTGCAAGACCAAAAAGCTCAACCTGTAATTAGTTAAAAGGTCTGTAATTAGAAAGATGCTTTACAGTTAAGGTTTAAATTAGCCTGCAGCTAAGACAAGTTTGGCACAGCTTGTCTTTAACCACTTGCTCTTGCAAAACCACACCCTTTCTAAAATAAGGAAGCCACTGACTTTCTGCTGGTTTTAACTTCAGCTTTATAAAAAGGTTTTCTGTTCCGTTGTGGGCGGGTTTTGCTGACCCATTGGCAAGTGCGTGTGAGCTGGCGCTGCCCCGCGAGCTGCAAACCTGCCCGCTCTCTTACCCAGGGAGAGGGCTGGACATTTCTGCCTTCAGCCCTTATCTACACGTTTGTTCGCTGACTCTTGACGGGGAAGCAGGTCCCAAAGGCTGTGCCTTTCTGCCCCGGCTTTGCTAATCCCTGGCGGCTACCGGGCTTTGATACTGGCTTGAATGGAAGCAGTAGGAAGATAGTGTTTGCTCTTTGGAGACCTGAATAAAAGACTGTTTGGGGTTTGTTGTTTTTAAGGTTGTGTGGTCAAGGGTTGTATGTAAGGAAGAAGCTCAGCAGGTTTATTTGAAGCAAGGCCTGGGGCTAAAACAATTGGTTTAACTATTTTCAGGCTTTCCTACAATGTTATCAGAGCTCCACAGGTCCTGCTTCCTGCAGCGTGAATCGGGATGATAAAATGAGGCTGCATCTCATGCTTGGCAGTAGGAAAGAAAGACAAATTGTGCTCTCTCTTGTAAAAATAATTGCATTAGTGCCGTTTGCAGGTTAAAGCCCCTTCCCTCTGTCGCTGCTTTCATGGGGGGGAAAATGTAAAATCACTCCCCACCTTGGTTGCCACTCCTCTTTCCATAGTCCATACCCTTGTATCCAGCAGTGAGGCCAAACATTGACTCAAATTCCTCACTCTTCGTCATGTACTCCTAAAAGTACATTTCCTAAGTGCTGGAAATGGGAAGAAGGTTTTGAATGATTGGAGCACACTCCTCGGACGGGCTGGCAGTGGGGAGTGGCGCAGGTGGACCAGGAGAGCTTGTCGGTGGGCTTGAACGCTGACGTGTGCGACAGCCCCCTCCAAAGCACCGTTAACGGGGACTTTCAGAGCAGAACCTGGGAGGCTGCGGAGTTTGATGAAGAGGAGCACCGTGTCGTGAGAACCAGGGCGTCACGGATAACGGTGACGCTGCGGATGAGTCCATCGCGAGAGCCGTCAGGGTCACATCTCTGGCACAGGTCTCGTATCCACGCGAGCTGCAAAACTGCACGCCCGTATTGGATCAGTCACAGGGTAAAAATCATCAGGGATGGAGCTGGACGTTTTCCCTCTGGCACGAGGGGTGCAGGGAGCCTGCAAGGGTGAAAAATGGCTCTTAAAATGCCTCTGCCTTCCTTTTGCCTCCTGAGCCCGCGTTTCCCAGGGATGGACATGAAGCAGGATGGTGAATCGGATCCTAAGCTGGCACCAGCTCAGCCCTGGTGAAACAAATCTGCTTTGTGGCTGTCCAGGTAGAGCACAGCCCCGCTTCCACCCCTAAAGTGG